CTTTTGTGGATACACACACGCGCACACACACACACACACACACACACACACCACGTTTCGTTATCCATTCATCTACTGATGGACACTTGGGTTGTTTCCACCTTCTGGCTGTTGTCAATAATACTGCTGAGAACATTGGTATACAAATATCTGTTTGAGTCTCTGTTTTCAATTTTTTTGGAGTGTATGCCTATACCTATCCTATTCTAACAACTTTCAAATATATGCTGTAGTTTTGTGCTGAAGAAAACACTTAAAATCACACCTCCAGGGCCTGGGAAAGAAAGAAAATGGGGACCCACCTCTCTAATGGATTCACAACAAAAGCAATACTTTGGAGCATTAGAATAAGAGGAAGATGATCCAGTTATTGTTTCATTTTCTAAGTTTATGTTTCATTAAGTTACTGTTTCATTTTATACTTTTCTTTCTTTTTACTTTATTGATTAAGTGTTTGGTTTGGGTGGGTGAAAATGTAGAGCCTACTTTGTAATAGTATTGAAATGACAGAATTGGTCTTACACTGGGGAGCCCTATTCTCATATAATAATTATAGGAAGGAACTTTAAAAACTAGATCTGAGAGTCAGTTGGAAAAGGAATGAAACAGGAAATTATGCTCATGTTATTAAGAAAGGGCAGATCTTTTATAATAATAAGGCTCAATGGACTGAGTAGTGCTTTGAAGTTGATCTGTGATGTACAGTCTCATCTGGTTAATTTGGTTAAAGGATGTTGCTAAGGAGGCCACGACCCAGTTTATTTTTAAGAATAATTTTGTTCACAGAGTCTCACACTACCTGTTATCATTGCAGCAGGTAGCTGATCACATAGTAAACTAGGAAGCTCAATTCTATGTAAACTTAGAGGAGCAATACTCAACGGTGTCCCAAACAAGATTTGTGGAGTGTAGATGAACTGCTTACCTCTGCAGGCCTCCAGTGATTTACCCTCAAACTCTGGAGACCCTTAGAGTCTATAGCAGAGCTTGCCAACTCTTTCTGTCAAGAGCCAGATAGTAAATATTACAGGCCTTACAGGCCGTACGGTCTCTGTAGCAGCTGCTCAACTCTGCTATTATAGTGGGCAAGCAGCTGTAAGACAATATGTAAACAAATGGATGTGACTGTATTCCAATAAAACTTTATTACAAAAACAGACAAGGGGCAAGATCTGGCCAAGCACTGCTAGGCCTTCTACTATGCAGTGGTTCATTCATTCATTTATTTAGCACCTGCTTTGTGTCAGGCACCATTCCCAGTGCTAACTGTACAGCCCTGCCCTTAGGGAGTTTACCTTGTTTCACGCTGCAGTATATTCTGATCTGCCTCCTTTCCCCTCAAGGACTGAACCAGGACTGCGGATTCTGGTTCTAGACCTCTTCACCTTGTTTTCCTCATCTGTGAAATGAAGGTTTGGGGCTGATTAAACTGTAAGGCTCCTTTCAGCTCCATAATACTGGTGATTGAGTGTCTTTAACAGGAAACACACAGAATCCTGTGCGCATCAGCAGTTAACTTTTGCAGCTGCAGAAATTAGTGATTGCAGCTGAACGGACACAACAGTAACTGAAAGTATTAATTTTACTGGAACTTTGAACCCAATTTGTAGTTATCTCTTGCCACGTCCCTGAAAGTACATTGAAATTAGATCAACATTTTAAAGTGTGTATCTTGAAAACGCCTGAACTACCTGAACAATGAATGAAAAGAAAAAAGATGAAAAACAGGTTAAACATTTTGCACTTAAATAATACTGTGTTAGGATGAACTTTATAGAGGAGCTAATAGCCAGGCTTCTATTTTTGAGATCCCAGTGCTTGGAAAGGTGCCCATATTTGTCCAGGATCATTCAGTGCCCTGGACCTTATTATCACTAGAGATTCTGATTCAATAGGTTTGGAGCACAAGAAGCTCTATTTTTAACAAGCTCTCCAGGTGATTTTGATGAACAGCTGGGTTTAAAGACTGCTACCTTATCTCAAAACCAGCTTTTCCTTTTTTTGATTTTCCCTTCTGATGAGAGGCTAAATATAGTAGAGTTAAAGTGGGTGAGTGAAAATGCCCAGATGGTTCCCACTACTTTTAAGCAAAGCTGAGTAAAAACAACAAACTTCTGTATGGTGCTGTATGGGTTACACAGCAGTTCCATATTGCATTTGGATCTACGCTTTAAATAATTATGATTATCAGTACCCCGTTTTACAGTTGAGAACACCGAGGCACCAAGGAATTAAATGACTTGTTCAGTGTCCCTCAGCTACTGCACAGTGGCACTAGAATGTCATCTCAGATCTTTTTACTCCAAAACCCTGTTTCCTGCTCAAGTTGGTCAGAGGCAGCATGGGTGCAAAGTGGGTGTATATGATGGGGCTGGGGTAGTTCCATGGACTTTTAAAAAACAATTCTGTTTTAAAATTCTTCCTAGATCTTCTACAGACTTTTTTTTTTTTTTTTTTTTAATCAGCAACAGTGACCCTTGCTTATTTGCTACTAGGTCTCTGCTTGGTTATGTTTTCACCCAAGCCCACCATGGACCCCATGCTAGGCAGGGCTAGGACTTCTGATTTCTAGTGTCCACACTCCCAAGTCATGCTTGTGTAGCAGCTGTTCCGTATTGGCTTCAAATGTGTGTCCGAATTCCCAGTTCAGTATAAAACAGATCTGCCACTCGGCACGGCAGTTCCCACCATGCCATTCATGCTTGCTTTGTTGTTTTGCATTTATTTCCTCTCGGGCATGACATGTAGAGATTGTATTGCTTTATTGGCTCTAACTTTTTCAGTTCATTCATAGCAAATAGAGATTGGATGGAAAAAGTCAGTAACGTTTCCCTGCAATTTAAAGTTTATCCATTGTAGCTTAGAAAACTGTAAAAGCCAGCTGAAGAGTGGTTATAGGGTTTTGTGGGTATGGGCATCATCTCTCCTGCTGTCATCGTAGAATTTCGGAATTGAAAGTGACTGGCAGGATCTTCCATTCCAACTCACTTTGGTTGGGAAGACCCTTTATAAACTCAAGGTAGTTCATGTACTCTGTGTTTAAACATGCCGGAGCTCTTTTTTTCCCCCTATTCTTGAAGAGAGAGTTTGTAATTGTTCTCATTTTTCCTGGGGTTGAGCTGAAATCTGTCATCTTGAAATTTGTACCTTTTGGTTCTGGGTCTCCCTTGAGGAGCAGAAACAGAGAACAAGCCCACTCCTCTTTCTGTATGCCATCTCCAGCTACTTGAAGAGCCCCAGCTGCCCCATTTTAGTTTAGTTTTTTCTTTTCTTTTCTCAGAGGATCATTATCACTAGCTCTTTTGACCATTCCTCTTCATAACTTGACTTCTAAACTCTTTTCCAGCCGTCCTGTTCATCTTCCATTGGGAGAAACCTTTAATTGGTAGGGTTCCTTTAGCAGATGGCTCCCAAAGTTGAATGCCAGTCTATATTGTGCATTTGACTTTTTTTTTTAACCTCAAGTCAAAATGTGTGGGTTTTTTTCTTTAACATCTTTATTGGAGTATAATTGCTTTACAGTGATGTGTTAGTTTCTGCTGTATAACAAAGTGAATCAGTTATACATGTACATATGTTCCCATATCTCCTCCCTCTTGCGTCTCCCTCCCTCCCACCCTCCCTATCCCACCCCTCTAGGTGGTCACAAACCACCGAGCTGATCTCCCTGTGCTATGTGGCTGCTTCCCACTAGCTATCTGTTTTACACAAAATGTGTTTTATCCCTGACAAATTCATCTTACTACTTTAGCCTAAATGAAAAATGTTAATATTTGTTTTGTGGTACAATATCCTAAGCACTCACTAGAGCACAGAATCATGTGCAAATTTCATAATCAAACGTTGATTTTTAAAAGTTAATTAATTAATTAATTAATTTTTGGCTGTGTTGGGTCTTTGTTTCTGTGCGAGGGCTTTCTCTAGTTGCGGCGTGTGGGGGCCAGTCTTCATCGTGGTGCGCGGGCCTCTCACTGTCATGGCCTCTCTTGTTGCGGAGCACAGGCTCAGTAGCTGTGGCTCACGGGCCCAGCTGCTCCGAGGCATGTGGGATCCTCCCAGACTAGGGCCCGAACCCGTGTCCCCTGCATTGGCAGGCAGACTCTCAACCGCTGCGCCACCAGGGAAGCCCTCAAACGTTGATTTTTAAAAAACGCTGAGCAAAACACAGAGCCAAAGGCAGTCCTTTGGTGGAACCTGGAAGTCTTCCCAGGATCCCTTGGGGGATGAGGGATTAGCTGGAGGAAACCATTAGGGACCATGGGGACCATGGTTTTGCCTGCTATGAGTCCCTCATCTTTAAAGTTTAAAATATTTGTCAATCTAATGGGAGAAATATGATGTCATTGTTTATTATTTTTTAAAATAAATTTATTTATTTTGTTTATTTTTGATGGTGTTGGGTCTTTGTTGCTGTGCGCGGGCTTTTCTCTAGTTGCGCGAGAGCTACTCTTCGTTGCGGTGCACGGGTTTCTCATTGCAGTGGCTTTTCTTGTTGCAGAGCGCAGGCTTCAGTAGTTGTGGCACATGGGCTTAGCTGCTCTGTGGCATGTGGGATCTTCCTGGACCAGGGCTCGAACCCGTGTCCCCCGCATTGACAGGCGGATTCTTAACCACTGCACCACCATGATGTCATTGTTTTTGATTTGCATTTTCCTGATTACTAGAAGAGAGTCTCTTCATATATTTATTGGCCATTTGGGTTTCCTTTTCTGTCAGTTGCCCTTTGCCCATTTTAAAAATTGCTTTGTTTGACTTTTCCTATTGATTTGTAGCAGTTCCTTATACATTCTGAATACTATTCCCTTGTTCCCTGCTGCAGGTATCTTCCAGTCTCTGCCTGTCTTTTTTTTTTGTAAATTGTGCCTTTGGTGTAAAAAGGGTTTTGTTTTAATGTAGCCAGATCTATCAGTCTTTTCTTTTGTGGTTTGTGGGGTTTTGGGGGTAGTTTTGGTTTTTGTCTTGTTTAAGAAATCCTTCTTTAACCTGAAGTCATAATATGCATGCCTATATTTTCTTCGGAAAGTTCTAAAGCCTCACTTTTTACATTTAGGCTTTAAACCATCTTGAGTTTATCTTTGTGTACTATTGCATGAGGTGTCTTTTTTCCATGTGGATAACGAGCTGAGCCATCAGCACTTATTGTAGTCCATTCTTTTCCCACTGCCATTAGAAGTTTACCTCACTGCCCACATCCAGGCCTTCAGGGAAGTCCTAGTTCTCTTTTCCATCTCAGCATTGCCATCCAGTCCTCTCTGGCTGTTTTCACAGTTGCCCTGATCCAGATGTTGGTTTCTTCAAGCTGCCTTTCTACATCTGCCTCCATATCTCCACATGCCTCCATTCTGAAGCATCCAGACTTGCCTTCCTGAAGTAGCAGGTTCTAGGAGTGATTTCCTGGTGCCTCTCAGGACCATGGGTCTTGCCCAGGAGCGCTCTGAGAGTCGTTAGAGAGCTGCTCTTGCTTCTGGGGCCATGGGTCATGTTTAGAGGCCACAGGGACACCCTGGAAAAGACTAGAGGCAAGTTCAAATGAAATTTGGGCTCCTGGCTCACATTGGTAAATTTAGGGTCACAGTTTGTGGTGCTCACGGTGGAGGATGGTTGCTGACCTTTCCCTCAAGGGTTGGTGATGATGGAAGAGCTCACAGGTCCCTCTCATGTGGCTCTCACGTGGAGAGACCAGAGGCACCAGGAGGCGGTTGTTGGAGTAGGATAAACAGTATCCCCAGGACTGATCACAGAGGACGGCTCGGAAGGGCTCAGCGGGTAGGTGACCTTGCCCAATCCCCGGGGAGCCTCCAAAAGATGCTCTGGGGCCTGATGTCTGGGACCATGCCAGAGGTTCTGGGTGCAGTGTTGGCGTTTCCAAGTGAGATGACAGTCTCCTCATATTGCCAGGGAAAGATGTTGACCAAACAGGAGATCCGTATCTTTCAGGGCCTTCCTCTAATGGTTTCCTCCAGCTAATCCCTCATCCCCTTCTTCCCTCTGACCCCAACCCTCAGGCAGGCCAGCCTGCTGGTAACGCACGTGATGTGCCTTGCAGGCCTTTTTGCATGTCATTTTCTCCACATCTTCCTTCACCAAATCACGTCTGTCTTCTTCAAAATGATGTTGAGAACTCCCTTCACCCACAAAGCTTTCCCCAGCTCACTCTTCTGTTCATTGCCTTTGCTTAGCACTGCTGCGTGTAGCTCCTCAGCTTTCTTTTTGTTTACACTTCTATGTGTTAGTGTTCTCTTAAATCTTCTTGGGACTTTACATGTCTATCTGGCCTGTCCTTCCTAATTACACTGTTTCTCAAGGACAAGGATTATATCTCTCTTGCCCTTTGACTCTCCCTAGTACAGACCAGTGCTCAGCACATTGGGTCAAAGAACAGAGAGTGGGATTGGCTGCGTCCAGATCGAGGTCTGTCACTTGGTGTGTGACCTTGAACAAGTTACATAACCTTTCTGGGCTTCGGTTGTCTTATTTACAAAATGAGGATGATAATAGTACTTTCCTCATAGGGTTATTGACTTTGCAGAATGTGTCAGATGCAGTAAGCACTCACTAAGTGCTGCCTGTCAGTATTATTATTAATATTAATGTTAAAATGTTAGAAACCGTGCCAAAACATGTGACCTGAAGTGCCACATACAAATTTTACAGTTCAGCGATACTGTCAATTTAAATCAGTTAGATGTTGGCATTAGAAAATTTGTCTTTCCTGACCGAAGCGCTGTTGATTACTCCTGTCTCACTCATTTCCTCCCTCTTCCTTTGATAGGCAGGTCCACGAGATCCAGTCTCACATGGGACGCCTGGAGACGGCCGACAAGCAGTCTCTGCACTGTGAGTAATTAACTATGGAGACCAGAGTCCTTTCTCTGATGACACGGTGCTAATGGGCTGGGTTTCCTGACTGCGTTTCTGCCTCAGGGGCTTAATGATTCAGCATGGAATGAGTTCTGTTGTTAGGGTGGACAGAAAAACCCTATGGCAAAGTCACTGATTTCCCTGATTGTGCCCTTTGGAATCCCACAAGTCTTATCCCCCATTACCCCTCCACTCAACCTGACATGGCCCTATGGGAATGGAAGTCCTCTCCTCCATCTGTCTTAATCTCATTACCTAGTCTGTAGAGGAATGTGGTCCATAAAAATTCAGAGATGTTTAACTGGAATTGGCCATTTCTTCTGAGCTGAGAACTGTGGCTTTTTAGGCGGATTATTCAGAAACGATGAGCAGTATTAATTGGTTTAGTTCCCACACCGTGATTTCCTTTTAGAAGAGTGCTGCTTTCTGTGTTTTCGTTTCTTCTCTGTTGAAAGAAAAGGTCATTTTTCTGAGTCGGTCACACAGGCATTGCTGATCCCCCACCCACTGCAGATGCGGTCCCCTCCTCTCACTCCTGGCTGGTGCCGTGCCCATTTCTCCTGTTTTCTCACGTCCGCTTTCTGCAGCTCCAAAAGCACCTGGTCTCTTGGTCTTGTGCCACACCTTGTTCTGAGCCGTGCTCGTTAGCTGTGGGCTCCCCTAGGAAGGTGACATTTCTGTCTCTGCTGTCGTTTCTGTTTCGGGCAGGAGGCAGTCTGGACGCCTTCTTCTGCGCAGTTCAGCTGCTTCTGTCTGTTCACTTTGTTTGCCTTCCCAGCAATCTCGTTGGTACATGATTAGAAATGGAAAAGTGGTCATTTTGACTGTTTATTGAAAGGGATAAGGTAAATGACTGTATTTATCATATCGTTACCTCTGTGGATTCTTTCCTGTTGATATTCGGTCTATTCTGGGGACTCCAACATCAGTCTGCCCATTCTTAAGGGAACTCTTCTCTATGTTTTACATACTAAATCTTTCCCTTTGAGCTTTTTTTTTTTTTTTTTAACCTCATTATGTTCTGTGGGGAGTTCAGTTGGCAGTCTTTCTACGAGATATTTATAACCCATATCTGAAAATAATCTCAAATGAAAAGAGGCCTCACTTTGTATCAGAAAATATTACATTTTGCTTAAAATATTTATTTGGACAATCTTTAAATGTTCATTTTATTTTCTAAAGGCAGGAAATTTATTTCTACAGATGTATCTTCAGCTTTTTAAAAAATTGGCATTGTTATGGCATTAACAGCTATATATATATATATATTTTTTGAAACGTTTACAGTCACTTACTATAATTTGAATTTTTTCCCCATCATCATTAGTGTATGCATTTTTCTCCTTTTGAAATACATATTTTTGAGTCCATTTGATATAGAAAAAAGATACGTTTGATTTCTTCCAATTTAAGTTCACTGTTATTATTATTCTTCCAGCAGTTATTCTTTGACTCTGTTTGCCTTCCCAGCAATCTCGTTGGTACATGATTAGAAATGGAAAAGAGGTCATTTTAACTGTTTATCGAAAGGGATAAGGTAAATGACTGTATTTATTATTTTTCCAGTAATTATTCTTTTTTCTCTTTTATGCAGTAGTAGAAAACGAAATCCAAGCAAGCATAGACCAGGTATTCAGCCATCTAGAGCGTCTGGAGATCTTGTCCAGCAAGGAGCCTCCTAACAAAAGACAGAATGCCAAACTGTGAGTACTCTGACACCCCAGGCCTATCACAGCAGGCCTTTCTCCCAGGGGAGGCCATCACATATTCTGAAAATCCCATTTATACATTGAAAAACTGAGACTATGAAAAGATAAAGTCCCATAAAGAGCACAATTCTGTTTGATTGGTACCCCCTCGGAGTAAAAAGCCTGTGTTGTATAACACGGGGAATAGAGCCAATGTTTTATGATAACTGTGAATGGAGTATAACCTTTAAAGCTTGTGAATCACCATATTGTATACCTGTAACTTATATCATATTGTATATCAACTATACTTCAATTTTTTTAAAAAAAGGAATAAAAAGCCTGTCAGGTTAGTGGCTCAGAAGCCTCATGTCTCCTTTTCTCGTTGGTGTCATTTAGAAATTTTGCCCCCAGTACTGTTTTTCTGACCAGACCCATGGCCACTTGAAACCTAATGCTACCGGGGAGTTTCAGTCTGCTCTTTGGTTCCCACTACATTCTTGGGTTGAAATATCTTGCTCTTAATCACTCCAGTCGGTGTATTTATAATGAAATACTGATCTAATGTTTGATACACCCCCATGAAATTAAAATGAAATCACCCTCACCATCTCTACCCCAGCCCCTGCTCCCAAAAGTTTTATGAAACTTCGTTGATGCTTTACTCCAAAGATGCCCTTGGGCTTCTTCCAGGAGAGTGATATAACCCCTAGAAGGTCAGGAAGAGGTCATCAAACCTGCTTCCTGTCACCTGTTCCCTGTCATGCATCCAGAATCAGAGACCAGCAGATACTTAAGTAAAGCTGCTGGAATCTCATGTGCTACCACCCTGCTCTAACCACAAGCTCCTTCTTTAATTTCAACATCATTGATCAAAATCAGATTATTTGTGGGGGATGGATGGCATGGAGTGGTGTAGGGGGAAGTAAGGAAATGTCTTTTTTCCTGAAGACAAAGCCTGGCTACCTCCAATCATTGCTGCTCTGGACTCCTGGAATTTAATCTCTCTGTCAATTCTAGTCGTGTCGACCAGTTAAAGTATGATGTCCAGCACCTGCAGACTGCTCTCCGAAACTTCCAGCATCAGCGATACGCAAAGGAGCAGCAGGAAAGACAGCGAGAAGAGCTTCTGTCCCGCACCTTCACCACTAATGTAAGCCAGGCTCCTGGGTGGGATCTGCGGGAACTCGACAGCCTGTGGGAGCTGCAGCTCAGGGCTCTGAGCGGCGGTCTTTTAGGGGGTGTCTGAAGCAGACTGATCGGACAGGAGGAGAGCAACCGGAAGTGACGGCAGACTTTGTGCGTTGCCACAGAGACTAGACCTAAGCAGGGAATCTCTTTCTCTGTCACAAAAACCTGAAGAGGAAGCAGTTAAATTGAGGGAACGAGCAGAGGTGAAAATTACCTGGTTTGACTGGTCCGATGCAGAGAGGTGGACATTCACATGGTGGAAATGTTTTCCTGACCAGATCGAGACAGGTGATTAGAGCTCAGGCTGTTTGCAGTGAGGGCAGCGTTTCAAAGCTGCCTTCAGGCAGTTGCCATGGGGGGGGGGGGTGTGGTGTGTGTGGGGGGGGTGTGTGGGGGGGGGGGTTGGGGGGGGGGTGTGTGTGGTGTGTGTGGGGGGTGTGTGTGTGTGTGTGGTTCCAGTGTCAGATGCATTAAAATGTTTTTGCCCCTAGTCTGAGCGGCAGTTTGGAGGGATTTGTTAACAGATATTTCATTTTAGCGGGATTGCTTGACTCGAGCCTGTTTGAAAGTGGCCTCTTGGTTTGCACGTTGGATTTCTTAGAACACCCTTGTCCGTGTCCTTTGGTCTCAAGAGGATCATTTCCCACACATGGCTGTAGAACATACTGGCCTTTGTCGTGTCCTGCATAATGTATTCCACCAAATTAGGTGGGTCTTGGTGTGTGGGGGGGAGAGTTGCTTGTTTGTTTTGTTTGTTTTTACAGAGAGTTTCATTTTCTAAAGAGATCTTAGCTTTCTAAGCCTATCATCAGAATTCAGATCAGCTCCCGCTTTGCAGACATTTAACTCTCTTTGCTGTGTCCACACTTGGAATAATGTCCCCAGGTGCTTCATAATGTGCCTATGTAGTTTGGTTTCTCTAGCGCAAGCAGTCAGGTAACCGTGATTAACACTTCAGAAGTTCAATGAACATGTGTTGGTGGTATAATGGTAAGCAGAGCTGCCTTTCAAAAGAGTAGAGAACTGTACAACACACGAAAAGGTGGTGGCATTGGTTATTCCAGCCTTTTTAGGCCATGGATGATGGCTCAGAATTATTTTGTTTCTTACCAGCCTAGTGTGATGCTGTGCATACACTGGGCCCTTAATAAAAACTGATTGGCCGAATGAACTTCTTCCTGGTCTTTCTACGATCAGGAGGTATAATACATTTTTCTGAGAGATAACAGCCCATCAACTATACCTTTTCAGATGGGAGGGTAAGAAAGATTTGTATATAAAAGGCATTCAATAAATATTTGTCAGATAAATGAAAAGAAGTCTCTAATTGATTCAAACACTGGAGCCTTGACCCACAGAGCATCAGCTTATGCAGAATGCTGTTTAAGGTACCGAGAGTAAAGCGTGTGTAAATTAAAAACCATGACTCCTACCTCTGAGAAACTCCCGTGTTAGGGTGGGGGGACGTATACCTGAATGAAAAATGATTGTGAACTTGAGCAGCCAAGAAAAGGTGCTTTAACCTCTTCACGATGATGGAAAGTGGCAAAAGTGGCACCGCTTGGCAGAAGAGTTTGTAATGGTCAGGAGGTGGGAGAGAAGACAGTGCTGTGGCTGGTCGTGCCCTGCTTCTGTGTCCTTCCCACTTGCCGTGTAAAAGTGGAGCCCTGGGATTGGTCTTGCTTTTCTCCCTACAGGATGGTTAAGAGGGCAGGCTCTGCACCCAGCACTGGGATTCGTGCCCCGCTGGACGTCTTACCAGCTCTGCGTACTCTTGAACAAGTCATTCCGCCTCTCTGGGTTTCCGTTTCTTCATCTAAAACAGGGATAATATCATAACTACTGTGTAAGGGTAGAGTGAGGGTTAAGTGAGCTTAGGGTAAAGAGCATGCAGAGTGGAAAGCACTTGATCAGTATTAGTTTTTTCTCCCTTCGTTTCTTTATAGACTTTTCTTCCCTGCTCAGGTGGATAGACCCATCCTCAACACCGTTAGGCCTTTAATAGAAAACAGTCTCTTCTCTCCTTAGTCAGTCTGTCTAATTGGAGGGATAAGCTGTAGATAAAATAGCCGGAGGACAAAAGCAAACCTTTAACACTGCACTGAGGGAAAGCCAAGTAAAGGAACATTTGGAATAAGCTAGTTAGCAAGGAGTCAGAGAAAGCCTTTAGGAGAAGCCCAGCAAGGTCTTAGAAGAATAGAGTTTTTCCTAAGTTGGGGGAATGATATGGAGGCAGGGATGAACAAGACTTGTGTGGTGGAACCCACTTGCAGAGTGATAAGTCTGAGAATTCCTTTTCCTCTGAGTGAACAGAGGCCACCCCAGATCTCTGCTTTTTCTTTTCTGTTAAGTTCCTCTGATTCTCGCACCATTCCCTCTGGCTGTTTTTCCGGCGTGACCTTGGCCAGGAGGCAGAGCGGTCAGATGTGGTGGGGCCCCTGGAGCTGACCAGCAAGCAGAGTAACCAAGCGCCTGCGTTTCTTTCACAGGACTCCGACACCACCATACCAATGGATGAATCACTGCAGTTCAACTCCTCCCTCCAGAAAATTCACCACGGCATGGATGACCTCATTGGAGGCGGGCACAGTATTCTGGAGGGACTGAGGGCCCAGAGACTGACCATGAAGGTGGGGGCCCTCTTGGGGGACAGGGAGAAGGCCTTTTGTTTTGGCTTTATCCAAAAGTGTGGGACCTGCGTTTACCTTTTGATCGCATACCCCTAAATTGTGATACTGTGATAGGCAGAGCCTTTGAGTTTGGGTTCCTTTCTGTTGGAATTGAATTATTATGAGTCCAAAAGGAGCCAGATTCCCTTTGCGAGTAGGTGTTTCTTGTGTTTGCAATGAACCATAATGTGGCATCTCTTGGTATCCAGGTCTTTTTCCATTTCCTGAACTTAATGTAAAGTGACTGCTGCTATGAGAGGAAGCAGTAATGGACTGGGAAATTCTGTTACAGAATCCGCTCTCGCAAGAAGGAAGACGCAGCTGTACTTGGCCTCTCGCTCTCTTTCGGTTTTCCTGTGTGGCGCCCCCAACCCACCCCGCGCCCACCGGTGGACGGCCTTATAGCCGAGACCTCTGTACTGCAGCAACTGAAGGGGGTCTTAGGGCTGCCTTGGTTGACTAGCAGCGGGTGCCTTCTAGAGCACAGGCTGGTGATCCCCAGTGACTCTTCACTCTCTCTTTAGCAACAGGTATTCCTAGAAGCCCTGCCCCATTGGCTGAGACTCAAAACCCCTGGGAGTGGTTTACAGAAACATTACACAGCCTCTGATGTCAGTCATGATGTTTCAGCCTCAGCCCTTTTCCTGTGTCAACCCTGATGGATAATGGGGTGTGGGCTGTGTCTGTTATCAGGGTGTGGTCCCCAGTGGACGAAGCCCTCCCAGCCACTGAGCTGTGAGAAGCAGTCACTCGGAAGCGTGAGCTTTATCTTAGTTTTTGTTGGACCGTGTTGAGCCTGTCAGCTCTATGGGACTTCTGTACATTTCTGAGCAGCGCCTGCCACCTTTACCCAGGAGAAGGTCAGGCGAGCTGCGAGTGACACTTATCTCTTGCTGATGGCCGCAGCGCTTCAGATGGTCTGGAAGCGTGGTCTCTGACAGCTCCGTGGGTGCCCCCCTTTCAGAACAGCCACCTGCAGTAATCTAAACTGATACATGATGGTTAATCCTCCCTTTCTTTAGAAAACTGCTGGCCTCCTTCCCATATCTCAGAAAAACAGTAAAACCCTTTTAGGACGAGACTCACCATGTCACACTCAAGTTGACCCGCTGCGGGTCAGAGCTTATTGTTAAAGCGCATGTCAGCTTCTTCCCGAAGTCTGGTGTCACTGAGGAGTCCAAGCAACTTCTGCCCCAACACTGCCCCCAGAGGTGAAGCGCCGGGAAGTCTGGTGGGCAGTCAGGGGCTGGAATGAGAGGTTTCTAATTCCGTTTCCTCTGCACGCCTACTATACCTGTCTTTTGCCTCTTGGTTCCCTCCACCTGCCTCCTACCCCACTTCTGTCAGGGAAGTTTCTGCCCAAACCATTTAAAAGGAACATAGGAGGGAGCGTGAAGGAACCGGACCTTGATTTGGGGTGGAAAATGAATAACATTTTTGAAATTCATGTTAATTTTCAAGTGGTTTCGAAGCTTTGGTACTTGAACTTCACAGAGTGGTGAAATAATGTGCTCTCTCAGAGCTCAGCGGAGTCGTTAGTGACAGTCGAGTTTATACCACCATTGTTACGGGAAAGACATGTCTCTGGTCTCTGGCAGAGATAAAGTTTGACCTGAGAGATCTCTCTCCGTGAGGCTTGTATATCATTGTCTGGGCAGAGCGTGGGTCTTGAACTCCTGTCCGTGATGCCTTGTGTTCTCACCTCTCTTGCACCTTCTCTCAGTTGCTCGTTACCGTGTTCACTTAAAAAATGGTTGCAGAACACTAGGTTAGATGCCGTCATACAGATGCAGTCGGTGATGTGTGTAAGTTAAGTTGTGGTCTGCCCAGCTTTCATTTATATTTGTTACTTCATATGAAATTGAATGTGCTTAAAAATGAAAATTAGAAAGCAGAGAGGAAGGGTGGCCTGGGTGGCTTGGGCTGTTGGTTTAGGAATAAAATACCCTTTTGTTTTGGGTGGTGGGTGGTGACATTCATATAAGGAGTTGTAGGTCCTTGGGTTGGTGTCTGCCAGTTGTGTTTCTGTGGTTCCATCTTGCCCCCTTCAAACTCTCTTATGAACGTGGACACAGACCCATACGTTGTACTCAGCAGAATCCCTGCGGTTTCTGCTCTACAGAGTACACAGGCTGAGAGCAAGCATTTTAGAGCCAGGGAGCAGAGAGAAGTTTTTTGATGTTGCCTTTTTTTCAATATAAAATATTCTAATTTAAAACTTTTTTTAATGGAGGTATAATGTGCATACGGTGAGGTATACAGATCTTATTTGTACAGATCATTGAATTTTGACAAATACATACATCCGTCTTTGTAACTCACACTGCTGTCAAGGCACAGACCGTTTTCACCACCCCTGAAAGATCCCTTGTGCCCTTTCCCAGTCAGTCTACCCCTGCTCCCTCTGCCTGCCCCAGGCAACCACTGTTCTGATTGATTTCACCATTTATTAGTTTTGACTGTTATTGAACTTAATGTAAATGTATTCACATTACGATTTTGTGTGTGACTTCTTCCTCTCAGGAGTGTTTTCCAGGCTCGTTCGTATTGTTACATGTCGTAATCAGGTCCTTTTTATCGCCCAGCATATCCCGTTGTGCACAGAACACACACTGTTAATCCATCCTCTGGTTGATACACACCTGGATTGTTTCCAGTTTGGGGGCATTCTTCTGTTTTCTTCTAGAAGCTTTATTATAGTTTTAGCGTTTTTGTTTAATTCTATGAACGAATTAATTTTTATGTATAATATGAATCAAAGGTCTTTTTTAACACATATGTATTATATACAGACATATATGTGCCTGTATGTATATGATACATGCATGTGATACTCATTATACACCATTTGTTCCAGCACATTTGTGGAAGACTTTCCTTTCCCCCTTGCTTTGCTCTACAACCTTGACCAAAAGTCATTTGGCCATAGGAGCGTGATCTGTTTCTGGTGGCTGCTGCTTCTTGTATGCTTTAGGCATGACCAAGAGACTGTCTGTTGGTAAAGCCCCATCTCATGATGACATTCACCCATCCTTGGTAGAAGGAGTTGATCTTTGTTTCTCTTCCTCTTCTTGTCTGTCCCAGGGGACCCAGAAGAAGCTCCTCGACATTGCCAATATGCTCGGCTTGTCCAACACAGTGATGCGGCTCATCGAGAAGCGAGCTTTCCAGGACAAGTACTTCATGATCGGTGGGATGCTGCTCACCTGTGTGGTCATGTTCCTTGTGGTGCAGTACCTGACCTGAGCCAGCCAGGCCCCGTGGCTGAACAACGGTCCCACGGCGTGAGAGAGTGTGTGAGTGTGAGTGTGCAAAGAGAGGGAGGCCCGGAGGCTGCCTTCTGAAACGCGTGCCCATCTTAACTGTGAAGACCACTCAGAAGTAATTGTGGCCTGCAACCTGGTGGGAGTTTCAAACCTCTGTTTTTTGTGGCGTCTTGGAGGGGAAACTCGTGCTACCAAGATGTGGTGCTTAGGAAATGAACGAAGTGTCTGTTCTCTCTCATGCTCGCTGTCACTCTCACTGGGGGAGGAAGTGATGCAAGGGTAAGGGAGGACCAGGGAGAGGGGAGGAAGAGGATGGCCTTGGTGGTTTTTGTCCTCGTAGCTGATGTGCACCCAGGAAGGCTTTCACGGTGAGCTTGCAGACAGGACTGTCCACTCTTTGCCATCCACTGGCCTTCCTGGCTCCTAGTAGATAGTCTAGAGCAGAAGCAAAGAGAGGAGGGGAAAGAGGCCTTCTTTTCCTGCACCCACTACAGTAGGTGGGTTCACATGCTCTTGCTACTAGCCACCTTCCCCCACACCCCTCCAAAAAATAATGACATGCCAATGACTGACTGCTAATACTCGTCGTCCTTCCCCGGAAGCAGCTACCTAGAGGAAACAGAGGCATTGGCGCTGTTGCTGATAGCAAGATTTTCCACATCACGGATGTTGGGTGTTTCTCCTTTCTAAAGTAAGGCCACTGTTAACTCCCTGGGAACGGTCAGTCTTGAAACTGAAGACCCTAGTCACCGATATTTTTCCCAGTAGTTAATGGTTGGCTTTTAAGACTGCAGCCTGGCACCCGTGTCCAGGCTTTGGTGGGCGTTTGCCCCTTATCAGGTAGCTGTGAGCAGAGGTTAGTGATTTGTCTTTTACAGTCTCATCTCTAGTTTTAGTGTCTCTAATTAATAATTGGCTCTCTTCCCTTCCTTGAGATATATTAGCAACTGCCAGCCAAGCCTCCGTTCTGCCCAGCCAGTGTGAGCACATGCCACCCTGGAGACGTCTCTGGTGTGTATGTCCTTGTAAGACTCTGTTTTCAGGGACCAGGACCTTTCTCCTTCTCGGACCAACCCTAGATTAAGGTTGTACCGGTACCCGGCGTATTGTGGGATTTATTGTAAAGCCAGTCTGTTCAAGAAGACTAATCACTGAAAGTACCAGAAAGACCTGGTTAGCCTATTTTTTCATCTGTCACAGGCCCTACCAGCCCTAGGCTCAGTATGGCAAGACATAAATAACACTCAGAGTTTCCCAGAGGAACTGTAAACCTGGTCAGTATTAACCCCACCTTTGACTGTCTTGCCCTACCTACTTCCCGCCTTTGTTTCTTGTCATTTGGACTATCTTCTGTCATCTTTCTCTTTTCTGTGTGTTTTCTCTTCCACCTTCCTTCTTTACCACCCCCCCCCAACCTGTTTCTGTAGCAGTATTGGTCTTTGTAGGCACATCTGTGGCGTAGATCCCTTTTGGGGGAATGATTCTTAATTGTCACAGGTTTTGTTTTTTTGTTTTTTTTTGCTGTACGCGGGACTCTCACTGTTGTGGCCTCTCCCGCTGCGGAGCACAGGCTCCGGACGCGCAGGCTCAGCGGCCATGGCTCACGGGCCCAGCCGCTCCGCGGCATGTGGTATCCTCCCGGACCGGGGCACGAACCCGCGTCCCCTGCATCGGCAGGCAGACTCTCAACCACTGCGCCACCAGGGAAGCCCTGTCACAGATTTTTAACATGAGTTTCCTGGGTACTGATTTCACACTTTTGGTAGGATCTCTGTTGCTCTTACTTGTCTGGGCTAAACAGGGGCCCTGGGTTTCCAAGGAAAGGGGAATCTTTGATCCCTTCATAAAAGGATTGAAGGCTCTGCCAGAGTGAAAACATTGGCCTGGTGGATGGACAGAGGGGTGGAAGCATCTTCAGACTAGCTCTGACTTTGGGGAGGCCCAGTTGGAAATTTCCATCATACCCAGCACCCCTGCCATCCCAGGGACCCAGCACAGGTCTCTTAGCAGTGCATGAAATGGGTTTTTAAACTGCACAGACTTGGCTCTGAGCCTGGGCACCTGAGGATCCTGCCAGACAGTGCACTTTGGAAGAAGATGTACAAGGAGCAGCTAAGCCATTTGGACTCGAACTCTGGGGAGGCAGAAACTCCCCCCACCCTCTGCCCTCTGTTGGCTGATGTGACACCTATTTGTAATGTACACCAGTCTGTTTCCACACTTGCCTTTCTAGTGATTGTTGGCCTCGACGAACCGGAAGTAAGGCCTTCCTTCGTGCTGCACCTTCAGAGCCATTCTCCCTACTTTGTAATAAAAATAGAGGGGGGGCAGTTCGTGGGTCTTCACCACCTGGAGCTAAGGAACAGCAGCCACAGTATGTCTGGAGACCCTGGGGCACCTCGTGTCATCGTGTGCTTGCCCTTCCCTGTCACACATTGGCTTTGAATGCTCTGTGAGCAACACACTTTGTCTCCACAGTCCTCAGAGTATAGGGCAGGGTCTCCAGGCCAGGGAAGGAGCACCCTCTAGTGGAGTTGGGGTGAATTCTCAGGTGCAAGAATCTCCAGGAGCTGCCTCTGCGACCTTGTACAGGATTTTGGTGCACCTATTGTGGTTTAAGACAGGTGGGTTGTCAAGGAACTTGGAGAATCTTCATTCCGTGGATGTGTACTCCAGGTGTGATAACCTTAAGAAAAGCTGAACTCCACGACCAAGTAAGTAGGAGAGTCTTCATTTTATAGAAAGCTTCGCTGCTGGGATTTTTCCTGTCCTTTGCCCTGATGAGTTTAAATGGGTTTGATTTGCAAATTTGGCTTTACACTCATTGTTTTTGAAACACATCAGTTGAATAAAGTTGCTGTTTATTTTATTTAGAAAATTACATTTTGTAAAGGAATTTGACATTCGTCGTCATAACCAATGACCCTTTTTTTCTCTCAGGCCAGAGATTCAGAAACACTGTTCCGAGACGAGGGGTGGGTTGGCTGCCTCAGCAGTAGCTGGGAAACTCTTTAAAAATTATGGATTCCTCTGGCCTACCCCAGACCTTCTGCATTAGAATATTTTTTAAGTCTCTAAGGTAATTCTGATGTGTGTCTTTTATTTATTTTCCACATTTATTTAGGTATTTTATATTTGGCTGAGTTGGGTCTTTGTTGCTGCATGCGGGCTTTCTCTAGTTGCGGCGAGCGAGGGCTACTCTTTGTTGTGGTGCACGGGCTTCTCATTGCGGTGGCTTCTCGTTGCGGAGCACGGGCTCTAGGTGCGCGGGCTTCAGTAGTTGCGGCACGAGGGTTCTCTAGTTGTTGCTTGCGGGCTCTAGAGCACAGGCTTAGTAGTTGTAGCACACGGGCTTAGTTGCTCTGCAGCATGTGGGATCTTCCTGGACCAGGGCTCGAACCCTTATCCCCTGCATTAGCAGGCAGATTCTTAACCACTGCGCCACCAGGGAAGCGGTAGACAGAGGCTTTTGTGTTTTTGCTTTTTTGTTTTTGTTTTTTGGTTTTTTTTGCGGTACGCGGGCCTCTCACTATTGTGGCCTCTTCTGTTGCGGAGCACAGGCTCCGGACGTGCAGGCTCAGCGGCCATGGCTCACGGGCCTAGCCGCTCCGCGGCGTGTGGGATCTTCCCAGACCGGGGCACGAACCCGTGTCCCCTGCATCGGCAGGCGGACTCCCAACCACTGCGCCACCAGGGAAGCCCCAGAGGCTTTTGTTTTAATCAAAGACTATAGCATTTGAAAACATGCGAACTAAGCATATATGAGTGAAGAGCAAAACTTATCGAGTCCAAAATTAAGTCTTAATTTGTTTATAACTTATTCCAGGAAAGACTTGAGGAGACTTAGAGGAAATAACTAAGACAGTGAAATATAAAGAAGTGAGAACCAAGAACAAGTCAGTAGAATGTCAGTGCCAAGAAAAAGACACATGCAAGTCATGAAGCCCCACAAAAACACTCTGGGGAATCCCTGATTAGGTCTGGAGCCAAAGCAAAGAGAGAAGCATGATCTGTTACTGTCTGTTGAAGGGTAGGATGTCATATTTGCTCAGAGGAGAGCCCAGACCTTGACTACTGCTAGCTTGCCTGTGGCCCTTACTGGAAGTCAGGCATGGTTAGTTTCCCGGGTCTTCCCTCTAATCGTCACAAACCCTCTGAGTTAGGCTATGTGTCATTTCCTTTGTGCAGATGAAGGGATGGAGCTTTAGTGACTTTTCTCAAGGCCCCACAGGGAGTCCTGGAGGAACCAACCCCTCCTCTGTCCGGCTTCATAGCCCAGGCTGATAAACACTGCACCCGTGCTCGGGACGAGATGCAGGAGACCAAGGCAGCTTTCTGGGATTGGGTAAAGGGCAGTAACGCGTTTGGTGCACCTTACATGGCAGGTTCTCTGCTCTGAAGTATTTTCCTTATTTGAAGGGGGAGAGAGAATTTGAGGAGGAGCTTCTGGAGTGGAGAATGGAAGGTGTACTCAGATCTTGCCACTAGGGGGCGACATAACCCTTTCTGGCTGGTCTGCCCAGAACTCGGCTCTGCCTTAGGGCTGGTGTACTTGGAAGAGGAGGAAACACTTGCAGATTTAGTTTGCTTCAGATCCAGAAATTCCCTGCCGAGTAGCGGCTTCGGGCTCCCTTCGAGCTCCCTGGAGCTCTCAGGGTATGGCCCCAAATGCCTTCTGAAACCCTAGTTCATTGTGGTTTCTAGGGCTCCCCTCCCCTTTCAGTCTTTCCCTCAGCACACGGGCATATTGCAAACAAGGGTGGAAAGTGTTCCGCGGTGTGATGTCAGTTCCTTCTCCCCTTTTTGTGTCCTTTCGTGTCATGTGACACATGGGAGAGGAGGGAAGTGGCATGGCGGTGAGGGGACTGTGCAGGTCCTTGGCCCGCTCAGGTGCGGTTGGCAAGCCCCCCCACCATAGAACCTCCTTGATGAGCAGGCCCCCCCTCATCCCCACGTCCCGCTAGCAGAGGGCTCCCAACCTTGGCTCCACATCGGGATTCCCTCCAGAGCTTTTAAAGATACCTGTGTGTGGGTCTTACCCTGATCCGCTCTGATATAATTGGCTTGGGTTGCAGCCTGGATATGGGGAGTTTTAAGGGTTGCCCAGGCATTTGTAATGTGTAGACAAGGGTGAGAGAGACTGGTCTAGCACAGGAGGGTTCTACCCAAGGCAAGGCGGGGGACCACTTCCCCAGACCAGCTGGGGATGGGGTAGAAGCTTACTTCTCCCATGTGGTTTGGGAAGGGGCCAGATCCTTCCTGGCCTGTGGACCCCCTCGTTGACTGATGCCTCTGTGTCTGCTGAGGACGGTACCTTAGTGTGACAGGCCAGCCTGTGCCCCTCCAGTGCACCTCCTGGCCCTCCCTACCACCCCTGCCCGGTTCTCCATCCTCCCTGGACTGCTTGGCCTTCTGGGAACATGCCATGCCCTTTTGTACATCTGCATCTTTGTTTCCACCCCCAACATACCTGTAGCACCACACAGTCCCTGGGGAATGGTAGTTGTTGAGGTGTCGTCACCGCAGGGACCTTTCTTGTGCATCCTGTGCACACAGTAGGCGCTCCACAGGTATTGGGTTGTGGCCTGTAGGAGGGCACTTGAGCCCGGCCCAGGCAGCTGACAGACTTCTGAGAATGGAGGCCATGGACCAGCTGCGTTGCTGTGACTAGGCCAGGAGGGAGCCGGAAGGGTGAAGGCCACTGGTGGCACTGGCCTTGTGCTTGTAGGCCCTCAACAGCAGCGATGGTCACTGTGAAAGCAGGCGAGGCACGGGAGGGAAAACGCGCCAACCAGCACTGTTTGGGGAGAGACAAGGGGGCAGCTAATTCGTTCTGGCTTTAAAGCTGAAAGTCCTGAATCCTGGTGACCTCCTCAGGCTGGAGTAAACCAGGGTGGTTGGTCACCCTGTGGACACTAAAGACTGTGACTGATTCAGGGCACCCAGGAAGAGGGGACTGTGGCTGTGGAGGCTGTCTCCCTGGCCTAGCAGTTCTGTTGGTGGTGTCTCGCCAGCCCCTCCTCCTGGAGAGCTGACATAGACTTGCCCAGGCCCAGCAGGGAAGCCTTCCACCTCCTCAGCCTTGGGTACCCAGCTACCAGAGCCCTGGCATATGCCCAGCACCGTGTTAGCTGTTTCAGGGCAGACAGAGGGGTTGGGAGCAGCCTCTGCCCTCTGCGGCTAGCAGTAATTAAAGAGGCACAACGCAGCAGTAAAAGCCCTGAATCTAGGATGCGGACGCCTGGCCTCAAGTCGCAGCCCTGCTGGCAGCAGCCACATGGCAGGCACCTCTCTGAACCTAAGCTCGCTCCTCCTAGAATGGGAGTAACACCTGTCTTTGTCCCTTCCCAGGGTGGACACGGGGCCCAAATAACCTAGTGTTTGTAGCAGACTCCAGAGGTCTGAAGAAGTGCTTCTCAGCCTAGGCCACTTACGGGGGAGCTTTAAAAAGTCTTGATTCTGGATCTTGCCCCCAGAGGATCTGAGCTACTTGATCAGGGGTTTGGCCTGGATTTCAGGATTTTTTTTTTTTTTAACCTTCCAAGAGATTCTCACGTGCAGCCAAGGTTGAGAACCTCTGCTCTAAATGCCTTCCAGGTGTGATAGGTTATTCCTGTTTAACTGGAAAGGCAAGAACTAGTCGCATGAACCAAGCAGAGGACAAAGTAGCATGCAGAATCTCCCAAGGTGGAGGGACAGCAGTTTAGAGTGGCTGTCTCAGTGGGGCATTAACTAGGATGGGCTTTCTGGGAGAGAGCTCGGTGATGGCTGCGAGATGCTTGAAGGAGAGGAAGAGTCGTGGGAGAAGTTGAAGGGGAGGTGGCTGGCATGGGGGAGTTAACAAGCTCTAATCAGCCTCTTAAGTGTCAAAGGCGGCGAGGGAGAGCCGCTGGGAGGGCTGACTGCCGTCGTCTGCTTGGCTCCCAGCCCATCGGAGAAGTGGTTGATGCTCAGAGTCTCAAGAAGCCTGAAATGGGGCTGAAGCCTTGGTGGGCTGTCGCTCATCAGGGGCGAGCAGGTGTGGGCTGTGCAGGAGACGGTTCCACTCCCCCTTCCCCTTTCCAGCCTGGGCCACGGCCCCCCCTTCTTTCAACCAAGACATCTGGGGCAAGGCCTAGCCTCTGGCTCTGCTCACCTCCTGGCACCTGTCGGCATGCTCTGCTAAGAGTTCCTCATGCTAGGGCCTGTGCAGGGACAGGGGCAACGGGTCGGAGAGCTGGGACCTCTGTAGGAGCAGAGAGTAATCATCGCTGTCCCCTGCACCTCTCCCATGTTGTTGTGAATATCAAAAGATAAAATTCTGAACGCTCCTGGATGTTGTGTGAGTTCTTGTTGCTGCATGCATATGTGGGCGCAAAAGTCAGTGTCCAGGAAACCATTTCTTTCTTCTCCCTCCTTCACCGCTGTGGCAGGGAGCAGCCTCTCTTACCGCGGCCCACAGGCCTTGGGAGACCCTTGGCAGGCAGCCCCCGGGGCAGAATTCCAGATTGGGAACCTTGGTCACCTCCTCGAATGAGAAAGCATCTTGAAACAAATTTTCTGAGATCATTCATTTGGAGGGAACAGCGCTCAATTAAAGATGTAGAAGGGCTGGGATATTCACTTAAGGAAAAAAAAAGCTCACCCCTAGTATTGTACCCTTTTAACATAAGAAGTCGATTTAATACCTACAGGAGGTGTCACAGGGCAGGGTAGATACGCAAGACGAGAGCTTATCGAGATGGGGACGGAGTGGTGTTGGAGTGCTTCCTGGAGGAGGGAGGACAGGGGCCGGGTGGAGAATAGGTCAGTGGCCGAGGATGGTACTGACTGATGTCCTCGCAGGACATCCCTCCCTGGGGAGGGGTGCTGCTTTGAAGGGGAGGAGTA